TAAAAAAATCGCATTTTTTCATATTTCCATATTATAAGTATGCCTTTAAAAATAACATTCTGTGATTTTAAATAGATATCTCAAATTGTTCTTGAGTTGCAGGCTGCTAAAGTATCTTTAAAAGCGTTTTTCTCAAAGCTACATTTTTCAAAATTGTTTCAGTGATTACTCGGAGACAATTGATGGCTTTAAAATGTTTGCTGTATAGTTCGCCAAATAATGACCTACCAGTTTTTTTATCTGATTAAAAATGGAATTTTGACATGCCAAAAACGACCAAAATTTTGGCTAAAAACCATCTTTTTTTAAACTCCGCCATTTTATCATTTTTGATTTTTTTTGACCCTAGGTCATTGTACGGAGAGTCAAGTCCCGTAGTCGAGAGCTTTTTTAGGTTTCATCCACAGAGAAGGGTGAAATCACTACAGCAGTGGATGTTCTTTTTTTGCGCCATCGGAGATCGTGTCTAACTGGAAAAATTTTTAATTTTTTCTATCAAAAAATTAGCTGTGTATTCTTAAAATATGTATAAGTACATATACCCTTGAAATGTGACACATTTGGCGTATTTGAGCATGTCTGTCTGCCTGTGTATATATACGCGAACTAATCCATTTTTGAGATAGCGATCTGAAATTTTGCACACGTTGTTTTTTCTCCCAAGGAGCTGCTGATTTGTCGAAACTATCGATGGGTCACTAAGAGCTTTTAACTGTCATAAAAACTGATCAATCAAACTCCAGTTTTTGTATGAAAAACTTTTGTAGTTTACAAGATATCCTCACAAAATTTTGATTATTGCCCAAGAAAACGTTATAATTTAAGAAAAATATTATTCAGATCGGAATACTATAGTATATAGCTACCATTAAAAATCTTTTTAAATCCTTTTAAACTATGCACCTGTATCAGTTTTATATTTTTTTAAGACTTCAAAGGACTCTAGATATAACTATCCGAGTGATCTACGAAGTAGAGGAAATAAAATTATAGAATATATTTGTACGTGAGGTCACTCAAAATATGTCAATAGTGCGGACACGTGCATTAATCTTAATACCATAAACAGCCACACTTAAAGTTAATAACCAAAATTTATCAAAAAACAAATCTAATTTCATTTCACCCCTCGAGCACTTTATCCTCCACAGTATGTAGTAAGTGGTCTTAGCTTCCGGTTGGGTTTTGTTTTGGTCGCAGTCGTTTGTCTGCCGATAAAGTGTCGAAATGCCCGCACCTACAAATGACTTAATGACTTCATAATTGAATAATGGCATGAACTGACTCTGGTGCCACTTTGACCCTATAAATATGCCAAAGTCGCTCGCTCGCGCACTCACAACGTCTTCCACTCTTACTTTCGCCGCCTCACACTCCTTCCACTTGTTCAATTTTCATACCAACTTACTTATTTACGCAATTCAAGCGAATCATTCCAATAAAATCAACATTAAAATTGAAATTCGCCATTGGTGAATGGCAGCAGCAGGTGTAGGAAGTCGGGAATGAAAGCACCATCAACAACAACTACAGCACAGCGTGCAATTATATGCGCTGCATGAAGTACTTGTTAAGTACGACGAATTATTACCAATAGTAAAGGCGACCGTAATGACACACAAACACACAAACATACACGAATGCTATATGTTATAATGAAGGAAAGTGCCGTCGTCCAGCTGGAGAGCCAGCAAGTCGCCCATTCGTTAGGCCTTGCGGCATTGGCTCCACCAGTCGTTGATGGTGTGGTGTAGAGCAATGCCCCATGGGGAAAATTATAACAGTTGCAGTCGTACAAATGTTCCTGCGCGACAGTAAAAGCAACGACACAAGCAAAATAGTAACATGAACAACAACAACAACATTCGCATTAAATTTGTGTGCCATTGCAGGGCATTAAACAACTATGCCGTTTGGTGGAAGTGTAGAGGACCGCGGACGCACGCTTTTGCCATTTAAAGGGTGTTAAAAGGTCGTGAACACCCATGGCTTTCGTCCTTTGCTGGCTGGCGTTTAATGAACGCTTTCGCTGCTCGTTGATAGGCTCGGCTGTCGTGCCGCTTTCGATATTAATGTGCCATCAAGGCAGCGAAGGAGGCGATGAAAACACAAATGATTGTGACCATAAATCAGGAACCGTTGACATGCGCCACATCAGCCAACGTTGTGTTGGGCATGATGTGTGGCCTGTAAAGTATACACGTAGATCGGCATTAAATGATGTCTCCTGTGAAAGCAGCTGGTGTTTAAAAGTGTTATAAATTTAAAATTTTCCACGGCTGATTTTTCTTGAGCGCTCTTTAAATGTTTATTGTTGGTTACAATTTGTTAATGTTATTTGTAATACATTTTTAATAATTTAAATACATTTTTATTAATTGAGTAATATTTTTGTTTGGAACTATTATATAATATAAGGCCTAGTAAAAATAAATGCATTATTTTTCCAGTAGAAGGCTTTAGTAATCTGTATTTTGCGTTGTATAGGTGTGATTGGGTTCCGCTATATGTCATTAGAACGACAAGATTTCGTGCTAAAAACACGCGTGCTCAAACAATACTGAGTTGAGTAATATGAAGAGTGTTTATGATCCTGATACTGTAACATTCAATCACGAGCAATTTTGGTTTCGTAGATTCCGTTCCGGAAAATTTGACGAAAATATCGATAAAATAATGGAAATCCGACCGTCATGCAAGCACTGCGTCGATTGCCCAAGAGCTAAACATTGCGCAAAATACCGTTAAGAACCATTTAAATAAGGCTGGATACAAGAAGAAGTTCGATGTGTCACATAAGTCCTCATGGATCAAGTTTCTATCTGGGAATCGCCGCTGAATCGTATCAAAATCGATTCATTTCTGAAATGTATGATTACTAGTGATGAAAAGTAAGCCAGCGCAAATGGTGGCCATGCCAGAATTGACGGTCTGGAAGGTTTTTCTGTGTGTTTAAGGGACACACCTAACCTGACAGCCTAAAAAACGTCGATTTGTGGAAATTAAAAAAAGCTACTGTATCGATAGTTTTGAAATTTTTAGAGTATACTTATACATATTACAAGAATACACAGTAAAATTAAAAAACATAAAAATTTAATATTTTTTGAGTTATACGAGATCTTGGACGGCTTTAAAAAGAAGGTCCTCCACTGCTGTAGTGATTCCGGCCTGCTCTAGAAGTTATTCCTAGTACAATGACTTACGATTAAAAACAAAAATCAAAAACCGATAAAAATGGCGGCGTTCTTGATAAAAGTTTAATTCTACCACAAATTTTGCTCGTTTTTAGCCTCAAAAATTAGATTTTTGACCGATTCAGTCATTGTATGTAGAATTATGTATATACAGAACAGGCAGAAAAAAATTTCATGACGCTCGCATCATTTGTCTTCGAGTTATCACTGCAGAAAATTCGAAAAATATTGTTTGAAAAAAAACGCGGTTAAAAATAAAGTGGTGGACCGGATTGAACTGAGCGGTTACCCTTTAAATGGCTGTAATTGAAAAACTATTCGATATATCGATTTGAAATTTAAGTATGTTATTTTTAAAGGTAAAAACTATCGAAATGTGAAAAAAATAGATTTTTTCAAAATTTCGCACTAGGTGTGCCCCTTAATGGGATCGGCAGAGAATCATTCTTTATGAGTCGCTCCCCTACGGCCTTAGTTCGAACCTGAACTGTCAACTGAAGTAAGCAATCGTCCAAAAGAGGTCAGCTTTGGTCAATTGGAAAGGAATTGTGTTCTATAAGGACAACACCAGGCCCAACATATTGATACTGACTCGTCAGAAGCTACGGGAGCTTGGTTGGGAGGTAAGTGATTACTATCTTTTCCTGTATATGGCAAATGATTTTGCTGCTGAAAAATTCATCTCAAGAAAATCTTGTGAAAATCGACTGTCACAGTTTTTTTGCCAATAGAGACGAGGAGCGGCATCATAAAATTACCTTCAAATTGACAACAAGTCATCGAACAAAATGGTGCATATATGATTTGATTTGATGGGATCGTTCTAACTGCGCCAAATATTAAATTGAAGGGAAAAATAATGGATTTTTTATGAAATTTACAGGGTCAAACAAGATTTCAAAATTTGTATTTTACTTAACCTTGTTCCCACTGTTTCAAAGAAAATTGTCTGACCGTAGCAGATATATTTTTGAATAGTTAAAATTGTCTAATAGGTAATTTTGATATTCCAAATTTTTAAAATACCGAATTCATTAGCAACTATGTGCCTTTTTATTACATTTTTATTAATTTTCTTTAAATTATTCTTCCCTGTAATCGCAAGACAAAGAAAATATCCTTCGATCAGGGATTACAAAATGCTTATAGGAGTTTTACAGTTTTGAAACTCGGTACATAGCGATAAACAATTTTGAGAGCTGGCCTGTTGGGTCGAGCTTCTTTTGGTAGAGTCTTAGAGGAACAGAATATTAGGCTCTAGTTCTTCGAAGATTATCACACAATACAAGAAATAGTCCAAGGGTGACCTGTTTAACCATACTGCTTTTTTCGTCATACTGCAACAAAAGTTTTCGACAGTACATAAAAATGAAGTGTCATTGATACAATATATACAATTTTGAAAAGGAAATGCATGTGGAGTCTCGGTAATACTTGTTTTTCTCAAAAATTTACATTGGCATCCATTCAAAAATTCCATAAGAAAATCACCGAAATGAAAAAACCATCTTGAAATACGAGGATATACTTACATATTCCAATAAGTGATGAGGAGTGTTTAACACTCGGTTATAACCTTTTCTTATCTGTTATCTATCATTCTAAAATGTACTTACAAATTTATAAGGCAATGTAAGTATTCATCGCTTGTGCAATAATATTTGATTGTTATTAAGTTTATAAATAAATACGCCTTAAATTATCTTCAAAGTTCCTGAATGGTCTTAAATGACTGATAAGTGAGTTTCAATTAACTACTTCTGCAGTGGATGCAATTTTTGATCGTCAAATTATTTATAAACAATTGGTCAGAGAGTGAGAGTAAATAAGCATTAAAAATCACCGAGTTCTACTGAAACGGGCAACTTATCTGAGCAGTGATAAGATAATAAAATTTACAACACTTCCCCTAAACGAAGCACCATATCAATATAAACACCTTCTAATAACATGTACAGAACAGTTAGCTTCCAAAAGTTCGCAATGGCTTATTTACTTTTAACCGCTTTTACAATTTTCGCCACTTTCTGCTTGTCACAATCCGCTGAGAATGTCACCGATGGCCCTCTCATCAAGGGGAGGCTACCTAACAGTTTGTTATACGCACCCAACTACCCGAGTAGTTGTGCTGAGGCTTTGTCCGGCTCAGCGCAGAGTGGCATTTATCAGTTATATTTACCCGAATGGCTGGCACGCCCCTTCTACGTGTATTGCTTGCGAGATCCTAACGGCGGTGATGCTTGGACGGTGATCCAGCGGCGGCAGAGCGAGTTGGTGAACTTCTATCGCAATTGGCATGATTATCAGACTGGTTTTGGTAATTTGAATGGCAATTTCTTTATCGGCTTGAATAAGTTGCATGCATTGACACAAGTGAGGCTACAAGAGTTGTGGATTGAATTAATGGACTATACAGGCACTACTGTCTATGCGAAATATGAAAGTTTTGCTGTGGGCAACGCGGAGGAGAAGTATGCGCTGAGCGTGCTTGGGAAATTTTCAGGTACAGCCGGTGAGGCATTGAAAGGCTTCCTTGATGGTCAAAAGTTCAGCACCTACGATCAGGATAACGATGAATATAAGGACAATTGTGCGGAGATTTGGAAAGGCGCTTGGTGGTACAAGGACTGCTGGTGGAGGTGGGCATTCAAATAAATAGTTTAGTGTTGTGATTTAATCAGTGGTTCCTAATTATAAAAATTACAGTAATTTAAACGGCATGTACAATAATTCTCTATTCTGGAATGGACGTTATCCAAATGCCATGAAGTATACGCAATTAGCGGTAAGACCAAGGAAATAAGCTTGTGAAGAGTGAATGAATTTTGGAATGGAAACTTTAGAGGCTTCTTGTGATTTACGAACTACGACTACTGGTGGAAAACAAAAAAAAAATATTCTTTATTTGTTAACGTCAAACCATTGCTCAAAACAGTCGATATCATACGAAATAATTTTGATGAAAAAATAGAGTTCAATTACATTAGTTTCTTCCTAATTAATTATGAAATTGTGGGGAAAGAAAAAGTTTTTGCAACCGTTCTTTCTAAATATCAAATTTTTTTAAATTTTAACAAAACTCCATTTTGTTCCGTAACTTCAATATATAAATCTCAACTAACGGCCTCACCGTTAGCAAGAAAGCAAAGCCGCTGATTTTGCCGCTTGTAGTGGGAAGACTTTTTAAAAATAAAATCCAAATCAAGCTGTATCTGAATGAACCAACGGAATTAATTCTGCTTAGAATTCTACTAAGGCTCATGCAAACCTCTGCTGGTTAACAGGACTTTAATTCAATAATTTTTCCATGTTCTCCTGGGTTTATCAACACCTTTTCTTGAAGTCAAAAACTCTCTAATTATCAAGGATTAACGAACTGCTTGTGTAAAGCTAGAGCTTCATTTAATCAAATTTATAAAAAACCTTTGCTTCATTTGATGTTATTCTTGTGATATATAACATTTCGAAAATAGTTTCGGTGAACGCTGCCCAGTATACTTGTAGTTACATAATATGGAGTGTCTTAGGAACTGTTATCCCATGTTGTTCACGTTTACAGTAGGTAAAACTTCTTAAAGTTTCATTTTGTCCCATCAAATATATATTTTTTCGTTCAAATATTATTTGCAGGTTGATATTGTATTTGAACTAATTCTGGTATTTGAGAAAATAGATCTCGAAGCAATGACTTACAACAAGTCAACAAAATGCTGTCCCTTTCTTACACATTTTGAAAATTTGGTACAATTTCATATTTTCTTTCCGATTGGCTGTAATCTTACTCAACATGTTTTTATAAAACTTTCTTAATTATATTATATTAAATTAGAAAACTATTTATTCGGTAATTTGTGTGGTTTCTTTGTTTGTAATTTGTTTGTTAAATTCATTTTTGTTCCAGTAAGCAATTATCTGTAGTTTATGTGCCTTGGCTAAAAGTAGTACTATCAGAGCAAGTTCGCACCGTTTATGTTAGACTGGTAGGGTGGGTTTCTATGTTTTAGAAAGATGCTCGAATAATGCATGAAAAAACAATGCTTCTAAAGTATTGGAGTATTCCACTTCAATTTCTAATATAAAATGATCAAATTTGACCCGGACCGACAAAAGTTATATGGCTCGACTGAAATGGCCTTTAGTGAATTCAGCGAATTTTGATTTCAGGACAGTTTAAATGTCATATTCATAAACCCAGCTCTCGCCACCAGTAATGATGAGTTTGGTGAATGTAAGGCTACGTGTCGAGCATATCTCTTGTGACCTCAACTCGACGTCGGTTTTGCGAAAGATTCAGGTGTTGAGTCAATCCATAAAAGATGTTTATATCTTCTGTCATCTCTATGAAGTCAACACGACGATTTTCAAGCACTGCTTCTTTCAACATAACATGTTAGACATAAATTGACATATGTAGATCAAACTTCACACTAACATAAATATTGTTGTACACAAATGTTGGACCAGTCAAATTTGGCTCGTAAATCCATAATATTTGAAGAACTGTAGGAAAATTTAGTAAAGTCACTTTGATATGGTTTCGTCTAGCCGAAAGAAAATTTCCAAATCGACGAAAACAGAATTAGGGTTCTAAAGTTTACCGTCTAAGGGTAGATCAGAAGCAGTCACAGCAGTTTTCAGTTCTACTTTAAAGAGCGTTATGTTAATAACTATTTAATTATTTACTATAACTATCGTGTACTATGTATATGTATATAAAGATTTGATGAGGTGGATTTATCTAAGCGCTTTCTGTTCCTCATTTCCTCTTTTTTTTCCTCCATTATTACTATTTAAACTACCTTTAAGGTCTATGTGTGAGTCACTTGAAAAATAAATATATTTTTCTCTAAAATATATTTCGCTTGAACACTGCTTCTCAATTTACTCTCCAATCTCATTACCCCTGTATTATTCCAAACTGTTTTTTCCACCATTCTATAATCATAATACATATATAGTTTCAATACATACTTGTAAATCTCACTGAAAATAAGCCAAATTCAGCTTTTTTATATCCTACATTGTAAATCAATCATTTTCGCTTCTAGCAACTTCACTTTACTAACCTCGGTATATCCATAAATTGCTTTTAAATCCCATCATTGTATTTACATACAAAAAACTACTCTTCAACTCTCTCACCTTTCACTTTACCAATTACTCCAACCTATCCCACCATTATGACACACTTTGAAGATGAAAGACAAACAGGAATGTCGAGTGATAAAATGTTTCCATTTGAGAGGAATCATCAACAATATAACAGCTGGTCCACAATTGCTGTTGAAAAAATAGTACGCCAGCTAGTCAAGTTTATTTAACCTGCTGCCACAATTGACATTGTCGAGAGGGAAATAAATTAAAAGAGTGACAATCGACAAAACTTTGTGAGCTTTGCCAACACAGCTGGTCATTCCACATATCACCACCACCACTAGTACATATATATTTACATTTGTATATACTCCACATATTGAAAGCGTGTGTGAAAAATTGTATAGAAATGTTCATTAGCTTCAGCCACAGGTGCGCGTGAGGTTTGCGACTATTGCTATGCATTTAAATGTGCATATACTCAATATGTATGAATATACACCGTTATAAAGTACTTGACAATCTAAGAGCTTTTGCTTTGTGCTTTGAAATACATACGAATATAATATGTATATTTATTTATGACACTCTAGTAGGAAAAAAGAGTAGAATGAATTTCATATACCCAATGCACGTTTTAAGAAACTTATATTAAATCACAATAATAATAGTAAATAAACTAATCTTTTACTTTTAGTAGTCATCAAAAATGCGTTGTGTGTGAAAATTAATTCATTTTAGAGTGGCTTAAAAAATTATTATCAAAAATCTTACTTCTTCGATCAAATATACCTAAGGTGGTCCAGCCATTTCGGAGAAATTTTCCTCACCGATTCTGAAAACAACGTGTCGAGAAAAACGCGTTTAAAGATTACATTAAGTTAAAAACGTCTCACAAATACGCTCATATCTTTAAAACTGTGTGCCGGATTACCATTTAAAAAATATAAAAAAAGCCGATTTTTTGAAACTCACAAAAGGATATAACCCCTTAATAGGTTAAGCCATCCTAAAGCCCTTAAATCTAATTTTAACAAATTATTCTGTAAGTAAGGAAAAAGGTATCGAATTTCCCTCTTTATGTACTTGAGTGTAGAAAAAATGTTTCAATCTTCGGAGTACCATTTTTCAAAAGCCATGCAATCTGAACCCAAATAAAATTCAACATCAGACTTTCTGCCTAAGTTATTAGATAATGTTCACAGTACAGCTACAGTTAAAATTTCAAGTAGACACGTGACTGACAGAACTCTTTGACAACACAACGACCTAGACAGATAAACAGTTTTTTCCAAAACCAATAATTTAATGCTGTTGCACTATACTTTTAACCAAAAAATATAGGTTTTTGAAAATTATAAATTGGCATAATCTTAAGAGCAAATACCCTGGTGCCCACTTCGTATACTGGTTATAAAAACCAACATTTATATGTAAACGTAGATGGCAACAGTTATACATTGGAATAGTGAAATTGAGATAGCGCTTTGCTGTTGTTTTCTCCGCGCTTCGTTGCATGCATTAAAGCAATTATGGGGGCGCAACACAAAGGATGACTTGTGTGGTCACTGAAACGTCAGCAAATGTTAAAAATAATAGCGCAAATGTCGGCATATCTACACTGGCTTATCAAAGTAAATGCACCCTAAATAAATCTCTTCTTCCTTGCGGAGTAGCTTAGTCCACTTTAATTTGTTAGTTTATACGACTTCTCATCCTGAAACCTGTTGTATCGCTAAATCTTCATTGAAAAAAAAAATTATTATAAAAAGTTCAGCTATCCTTTGTTGATATATTTTATTGCTAGTAATTTATTGCGCTCGGTTTAAATGATAAGTGTGTGGATGATTCAAAACGGAACGACACGCTTTCTGGTGGTTTGTGCCGTCAAGAACTGTGTAAGGTGATTTTTACATCAAGTTGACATTCCCGAGCAAAATTTTTCGGGTGAAAACTCAAACCGCCATTGTGCTTTAATAGATTTAGATCACATCTGAGTCAGCTTTCTATACCTTCCAATGGTGTTTGCTATGAAGCTTCTGACATCCAGAAGCAAATAACGGAATCTCTATAAAATTTATATAAAAAATAATTAGCGTGGCAAGCTGAGTTGATATAGTGACGTCCGTCCGTCAGTGTGTATGTCTCTTAGCTTTCTAGATATCGATTTGAATTTTTCACACGCTCTTTTCTCTCAAAGAAGCTGCCCATTTGTCGGTATCGCTGATATTGGAGCTTTATAGCATATATTTGCTATTAAAACTGACCGATCAAAATCAAGTCGTTGTATGGAAAACTTCTTTATTTGACAAGATATTTTCATGAAATTTGACATGGCTTATTGTCCAAGACAAAGCTACAATCCCCGAATAGATGGTTCAGATCGGATAACTACACATATGCTATATGTGTTCAAACTGACCGATCAAAATCAAGATTGTGTTCAATATTTTTCTTTCTTGTTAAGTAACTTCAATTCGGTTGGAAGATTATTTATATCAATCAACGTGGCTAGAAAAAACTAGCAAAACGTTTTCCTTTGGATCCAAACCGTCGACCGCATTCGTGTTCAGATTTAGATATTGATATAGTTACTATAAAAAATATAGTTGATAACCTGTGAAGGGTATTATAGCTTCGAAGTTAACATTCGTTCTTACGTATATTTGAACTCAATTGGGCTCGGCGAGGACTTAAGAAAGCGGCAGATCTTTGGTTTTACACATAAAAAGTGTATGAGGGTTGTGGTAAAATGTCAAAACTTACTGGGTTCGTTAAATTAGTAAGTCGAGATCAAAAGGCGATATCCAAATTTTTCGAGTTAAATAGTATGCTACGCTAAGATGTGGCTTTAATTCTAAACGAAAAAGGTCTGCTTAGTTTAAAGGGTAGATTTTAAGTCGAAAGCGGCCAAAAATATTACAATTACTAAACATCTACTTGTATATGTTTAATTGTTGACAATTTTTACTATTATACAAATTTATTCTTTATGAAATCAATCAAATTAATTATTTCAAAGAAATATAAATTATTTAGCATAAAAAAATTAACCAATGCAAATTTCATGCACGTAAAAATAATATACATAAGTACACATGTCTGTATGCAAACCCCATTGTCCTACTTAGTCTATTCATCTGTAAAATCCATTTAATTTCATTTGCAATTAAGGCAATTTCACGCCAAATTCAATGTACCCACCAACCAGTCAACATCACAAAGGCAATTATTTATGCAGAACATGTAAAATCAATGATCTGCTTTACAATAATAACAACAATAAACAAAAAGAAGTGAAAAAGCTTGTAAACTAAACAAAACCTCACACATAGTCACATACATAAACACAGACGCATTCAAGTCAACGATTGTGTGCAAACTTACAAGTCCATAGTCCATAGTCCATATCTAAGGCTGAAGCATGCATAAATATGTATGAGGGAGATGAAGCCAACAAGTTGGCAAGTCATTCATTCGAAGCATTACAGAGCAATACACATACACACACACACACACACATGCATTTATGCTATGCCCCATGCGGTACGGCGAGTCACTGAGCCATTGTGCCCCAACAAAATAAAAGGTGCTGACGTCTGCTCAATTTGGTTGGCCGATTTATTTATTAGCCTCACTTCAGCCGCACTAGACGTGACGGCGGCGGTGCTTCAGCGTAAAAATCCCGATGTTTACACATACATACCCTGCCTGCTGTCTCTCTGACTCTGGGGTGGTGTTCAGGATGATGATGGGTACACTGGACGTCCTGACGCGTGTCCATGTCAGCACAGTAACTTCGTGCTGCTGGAAC